TGTTTTCTTAGCTTTTTGTTTGTTTAGGGTGTAAGTAATGATGCTGAAAAAGCAAACATACTGTCTGACTCAAGTAACTTTCTAGTAGACAAAAAAATGATGTCTCAACAAAAAGCAAAGGGCCAATGTACCCACAGCTCTGAGTAATTCTGTAATTCTACAAATGGCTTTTTGTGACATAATAAACCACAAGACCAGGCTTCTGTCACTAGAATTTCAGCATGGAATTACCTCTTTAACATACATATCATTTCAGGGTATTTTAATACATAGTTTTAGCAAATCTCACCAAGAGAAGATGTGTTAGTCTCTTCTTCCTCTTGCTACCTGACTTTAAGAAGTTCTTATTAAGGATGTGTTGTCATAATATACATTCCAAATCATTAGTTTCTGATTACCCATTTGCCTGATATTTATCATATTATTTCGAATCATAACAGTGGATACAAGCTTACCTTAGGATAGCATGAATTTTTTATTTTTTTCAAAAGACTTTATTTATTTATTCAACAGAGAGACAGCAAGAGAAAGAGCACAAGCAGGGGGAGTGGGAGAGGGAGAAGCAGGCTTCCCACAGAGCAGGAAGCCCGACACGGGGCTTGATCTCAGAACCTCGGGATCATGACCTGAGCAGAAGGCAGACGCTTAACGACTGAGCCACCCAGGCACCCCAGGATAGCATGAATTTTTAGAAGTAGATGGTGGTACAGAAGCCAAATGTTTGTTTCCCTCCCTCTCCCTTTTATACTAAGCCTTTGACAGGTATCTTCTACTTTGGCTTTGACTTTTTTTGACATTCAGAGGGTCAGACAGCCGAATGAAATACATACTATTGGTAATTTCTGACTGTGGTGACTGGTTATCTGTGATGGCTAGCACCGCCAGGGCAGGTCTGCGTGAACTAAGGATACAAAATGACCGTGGTCATGGGTAACCATCTGCCAGGAAGGCTCCATGGTGATGCTGTCCTCTTCTTTCGGTGTATTTAGCAGAATCATTCTCATTCTCGACCTCTGGAAACCATTTTAAGAAAAACCAACAGGGCAAGCAAATAAAAATAAATTCAGTTCTTGCCCTGTCACAGTGCTTAAGTGTCCAGATCCGAAGTCGTAATGCTTGGTAATTATAATCAAAGCGGATCCTTTTTGGGTAATTTCCTGTACCCATTGTTGCACTGCTGCTGTTCCCTGCCACTAAATATGAGAGGTGTAGAGTGATCATTTGAAGGAATGAATATTTACTTTCCATTTTTGGAGGGGAGGAAGAGGCAGAGAGTGGAAAAATGCCAAGATAGGCAAATGCTTAGAGTGTATTTCTCTACTAAAGATGGCTCAAAAATAGATAACTAGGGGCACCTGGGGGGCTCAGTCGGTTTAGCATCTGACTCTTGGTTTTGGCTCAGGTCATGATCTCGCGGTTGTGGGATTGAGCCCCATGTCGGGCTTGGCGCTCAGTGCGGAGTCTACTTGAGATTCTTCCTCCCTGCCCTTCTGCCCCTCCCTGCATGCTTTCTCAAATACACAAACAAAATCTTAAAAACACAGGTAAATAAAAGGTTAAGCTATCAAGAGTTCACCAAAGAAGTATTGGTACAAAATGTTCACAATTATTTGGGAAGAGGGGAGAATAGTCAACTGTTTCCAAAATATCAACTAAGTACCAAATGCCACCGAAACATGGGTGTCCCTCTGACGTTGGGAATCTGGGTTCTCACTTTTTTTTTTTTTTTTAAGATTTTATTTATTTATTTGACAGAGATCACAAGTAGGCAGAGAGACAGACAGTGGGGAGGGGGAAGCAGGCTCCTTGCTGAGCAGAGAGCCCCATGTGGGGCTCGATCCCAGGACCCTGAGATCATGACCTGAGCCGAAGGCAGAGGCTTAACCCACTGAGCCACCCAGGTGCCCTGGGTTCTCGCTCTTAATGCCCACTTTTATTCCTCTTGTCACCAAGCTATCATAGTTGCTGGGTGGCTGAGTTTGTTTGTGTCTTGTTATTCAGAAAGCACCACATCTGGTCAGTTTACTGTCATTTATGAATAATTGCTCAACATTCTAGGCTTTCTGTTCTGAGCACATACTGGCCTGGCTCGGACAAGTGCAGGACAGCAGGTGTCACCAGAGCAACTTCAGTGCCAGCTGGTTTGATGTCCACCCCTTCCACATGCTCAAGTGTCTCCCCCAATGTAGTCATGTGAAAATTTTTAAAAAGTGATCTATTGCATCTTTTAATATTGAATAACATGAAACACTAATCCTTCTAACCTGAAATAATAATGGCAGCCCCCAAAAAGCTTTACTTTTTTTTTTTTTTTTAAAGATTTACTTATTTATTTTTAGGCAGGGAAAGAGAATCTTAAGCAGACTCCCCTACTGAGCATGGAGCTGATGGAGGGCTTGATCTCACGACCTGGAGATCATGACCAGAGCTAAAACCAAGAGCCAGATGCTTAATCGACTGAGCCCCCCAAAGCCCTATTCTTTATCATTACATAATCTCCTCTTTCAATTAAGGTCATTCCCATGTGACAAGCAGCAATACAATTCTTTTTTTTTTTTTTTTAAAGATTTTATTTATTTATTTGACAGAGAGATCACAAGCAGGCAAAGAGGCAGGCAGAGAGAGAGGAGGAAGCAGGCTCCCTGCTGAGCAGAGAGCCCGATGGAGGGCTCGATCCCAGGACTCTGAGATCATGACCCGAGCCGAAGGCAGCGGCTTAACCCACTGAGCCACCCAGGCGCCCCAGCAATACAATTCTTATTGTTGCTTTAATATTTTTCCCCAGAGACTCCTTTCCTTCTCTGATAGGGTATATCCAATAATATTTATGTGTTACCCATTAATGCCAAAAGAAAATACACTGTATACTTTATTTGCCACAGAATGTTAACATCTGCCTTTTTCTCCTTTTCCCCAACCCTTAACATTTTCTGGCTATAGTGTCTGGTTACAGTTAAATCTCATATTCATTTCATTTATGAAACATGAAATAACCCAAAGCTAAGTACGTTTTGTTGATATTACTTTCCCTCTCTCTCTGTCATTCTCTTATTATAGGTGAGGGGAGAGCAAATTATTCAAATAAAGAACTAAATTATATTTACAGGATGGTAATTTTCCATCAAAATGTTTTAAAATTAATCATTGCCTTGTATTCAAGAAACAACCCCTCCATTTTACGATTAGCAAGTAAATCAGGACCAAGAGCCCTCTGTGATCTGCTTCAAGGAGCATGATCATCGCCCAAGGAGTACAAGCATTCCTGCTTCCAGCCTGCGGCTTCAGTCCAACAGAGGGAAGTTCGTTAATGGCAATGACCCAACTAGACGTTTGCATTTGGAACACATAAGTGCTCAATTAACATTTACTGAATATTGGATGTTTCTTAGGTTGAACTCATAGTATTAGTATTCGTGGAATGAATGAATGAAGGAGCCTATAAAGCAATGAGTGAACAATTCAGTCAATTAAAATAGACCAAACAAAAAATTTTAATATAACAAAATTGAAAATATGGCCATTTTACTGTATCCTGAGGTATTTACTCAGCCAACACTTACTGAATACCTACCATCTGCTAAGATCTCTGCTGGGTATAGTAATATCAACAAAACATACTTAGCTTTGGGTTATTTCATGTTCATAAATGAAATGAATATGAGACTTAACTGTAACCAGACACTATAGCCAGAAAAGGGTTGGGGAAAAGGAGAATCAGCCAGCCTTCTTGACATTGAGGAATTCACCAATTAATTACTGAAGAGAAAATTTTATACTGCCATGTGATCAGTGATATAACAGAAAAAAGAGTCAAGTGCAGTGGAAACACAGAAGGAAAAGGCCCTAAAGGAGAGCTTTTCCTGCGTTTCCAACCTAAGTTTAAGCCTAACAGATAAGGAAAGTCTCCCCAGGTTCAGATGGGAGCAGAGGGATGGGGATGGTAAAGATATTTACAATGCCAGACACTACTGGTGCTCACTAAGTATGGGTTGAGTGAATACACAAATGGAAGGATAAATTGATGGTAGACAGAGTCATGCTGGTAAATCAGTTCTCTGGAGGGAAATGAAAACCCTGACATATAGCAAATGTCCATTTATGTGGAGTATATACTCCCACCATGGTCAGTTTCAAACTACCAACATGACATCACTGATCACACACAGGTAAAAATATGCACATTTGGCACTTGCCAGCTAGCATGACCCAACGCCAGCCCACTGTTGACTCTAGAGCACTCCATTAGTATTCGTGGAATGAATGAAGGAGCCTGTAAATCAATGAGTGAACAAACTACTTGACTCCAGGCCTGGGACCAATATGGTCAAAGGCACAGAGATCTGAGTATTTATAATCCTCTCAATTAATAAGAAGCCCTGTGAGGTATGTCAGGAGGAGAGAGTGAATGGCGAGTTGGGATGGATCCAGAATGCAGGTTCTAGGGGAGTAGTTTTTGAAGGGGCAGAGTACCAGGACCAGATCTATATTTTAGATGTGCTTTTAGCCCTAATTCCATAAGACCATCTTTGCTTGCCTCAAAGTATGAATACGAATGTGAATGATTAAATCCTTACCAAAATTTTAATATGTGGAACAGTTCTAAACCCTTCCTCTTAATGAAACAGACATGTAAGAAATCCTTCGAAATTCTTACTATACTGTCGGATTTCTTTATACAATCAAAAGGAGTCTTAATGAGTCTTGGAGTCAACCAACAGAGGCAAGTAAATTTTGAAACACAGTGTACACGTGAACTCAAATGTAAAGAAAGAGAGTAAAGGAGAAAAATGGATTATATCATGTCTGACTGGTTAAGCCACACAGGATACAAGGAAATTACTTTCAAAGGCTGCCATGACAGTCAACCCTCTTCCGCCCCATAGACTATGTCTCAGAAATCTGGGCTTGTACATTCACGTTGTTCCACACTGATGCCTTTACTTTATGAGACCAGCAGGGGCTTTTCTAAAGTGGAAGCCCCAATGATGAATACATCTTACCTAGAGATATTGTCAGGTGAGCAGGCGGAGATGCTGGTCTCCATGCTGTCGGAGCTGTCTAGGCTCAGCGTGTCAAAGGCCTGGTCCTTATAGCTGTGATCGGGGTAGTGGAAACTGTTCAAGTAGACATTTGATTCAGAGGCTGTGCGGTTGTAAAAGTCAGAAGATTTCTGCCTTTGTCCTTCACTCATCTGTTGGTGATTATACCCTAAGGAAAGAGCCATAAATATGTTAGTATGCCTCATCTTCTAGTCTCAGATCTTCTGAGACTCAAACCAGCAACCCAAAACATCTGCGTACAAAACTTGGACTTTGGTCTAATTTGTTTTGAAGCCAAGAAGATCAAAGACACAGCATCATGCTCAGTGCAAGCGAGGTGGTCTTGGGCGTGATCTTTTCCATCAGTGGATCATCTCACATTCTCCTTTGCCATTCCCACATCTCAGCGCAACTGAGAATATAACCGCATACACACAAACAAACAGGCAAACCAAACCAGAACAGAAACACAATGAAAGGCCCTGTATCTTCTAAAAGTAGCTGGGTTCAAGGGAAGCCAGATGACTCCTGGTGACAAGCAATAGCATGGTCTTAGGACAGTCACTTCCTCAATGGTATTCAAATTTAAGGAACACTCCATCTGGTCATAAAATAGCAGGCGGACCATCGAGGTGTAGGATTTAAGAAACTTGTATCTCACTCATATTACCACTAACACTTTTTTTTTTTTAAAGATTTTATTTATTTATTTCACAGAGAGAGATCACAAGTAGGCAGAGAGGCAGGCAGAGAGAGAGATAGAGGAGGAAGCAGGTTCTCCGCTGAGCAGAGAGCCCGATGCGGGACTCGATCCCAGGACCCTGAGATCATGACCTGAGCCGAAGGCAGAGGCTTAACCCACTGAGTCACCCAGGTGCCCCACCACTAACACTTTTAATCTGGTAAAAATCCAAACTGCACATTTTTCTCACTTTTTTTCAATTTTCCTTGCCTGCTCATTATTTAAAACATCCACAGCCAATGATTTAAAACAATTCTCCCAATTGGCACACCCCTCCTAATTACCATATATAGAGCTCTCTCGTTTTCCTGCCTTTGCCGTCAGCCCTCAGCCAGCTAGTGCTGGCCAACCATAGGACAATGTAGAACTCACATCAAGAGCAGCCAAAGCGCTCTCAGTCCCAGGCTTTCTTCTTACCCTGTTACTTGCTCAACTGGCCTGTTAGATCGCTGGCTTTACTTCGTGTTGTTGCTCTGGCTTGCTTGCTGGTGGCTGATTCGGGGCAATGCAAGTTAAATTATTCTTCCTTTCTCTATGTACCATACAGGCAGGAAGCAGACATTGAACTGATAAACCAATTCCTCAACGCATTAAAAACATGTTTCTCTAGCCAACAGTAGGTTGCCACCCCTTTCTCCCTCATCAAATTTACTACCAGATCCATTAAGAGTTAATGATTGGACCCTTTGAATTTCGCCTCTTTCCTTGAGCTCTCCCTACCCTTGCTGAGGCTTTTAATTGGTAATGAAAAATGTCAAAAAAAAGCAGAAGCCACATCCGTGAGGATTTAACAAAGCATCGGACACATTTCTGTAAAATGATTTTAGTTCCACGGGGAGTTTGCCTGGCCAAACTACGTGGAGTCGTTTTAAATATCAAAGTGCAAATATGTTAGTTCAGATGAGGGCGTTTCTGGGGAAATAACCTTCCTTAATATAAGCTGTAATTAGATATTACAAATACACACACAAGAGCCACATATCACTCAGCAAAGGGAAGATGCAACCCAAGACAGCACAGCATGACACTTCGGATAGAAGGCCATCAATCATAGTGATTAACGCGGGGAGCAGTAAGTGAAGCCAGTTCATTCATAAGCGTGGAGACTGTGCCTTTAAAAAAAAAAAAAATCATTACTCAGATATTTACCTTTGATACTTGAATTTTTGGAATTACTAATCGCTCCTTTTAAATTGTTTCCAGTTATTATGAAAAGGAGAGGGACAAAAACAAACAAACAAACAAAAAACAACACCAGAAATTATTTGAAAAAGTCACGCATGTATCTTTCCTAGTGCTTTCAAAAAAGCCCTACTGGCAAAGAAAACTTTGACACTGGCACTGACATCGTGGAGCCACTTTCTAGCAGTCGTATGAAAACCAAATCCCTAAAAGACAGCCACGGAATTGAAAACATACGAGAATTATCTCCTTGGCACTGACATGAGGAAAGGCGAATCCCTATGATGCCACAAACACCCTCTTGGAGGAGCAGAAAAGAAGGTGGGTCCTGATCCTTGGATCGCCCACTATTTTTTTTTCCCCCAAAAGTAGTGCAAATAAGAAAATGAACTTATGACCCTCAGGTGAAGAAAGAGCACACTAAAATGACTCAAAGATGTCAGATGTGGGCACAAGGGCCAGCCGTGTGGCTATGTGCAGCACGCTAAGGGCTGTGAACACAAATGCTCCAGGTCTCCATTATTCGTCGGAGTTGGGCTCTATGTTTGAGAGAACCCTCCACCCTTCTGGCGGTAGGATGAGCGAGGGCCTTAGATTTTCAGGGCCATTTAAGTGAAGTAACGTGCTAATAATTTCCTGGCACAGGAATTTTGTTTCCCGGGTGAGTGGAAATGTTCTACCTCATGGACAGGCTGGTTTCTCCCACCTGGCAACCCTCTACTAATAATCACAGTGAACTCAGCGACCACCTGGCTTAGCCTCCTCCCTCCTGAACTTCAAAAAATTCAGTTACTTCTGCAATCACAAATAAAGGCCTGGACCTCTTCCCTGTGATTCTGGAATTGCACCCGTGTGATTCCAAAGAGCTGGCTTTTGGACCCAGGCTCTGGCCTGCTTGTCCAAAGGTACAGAGACTTTTAATGGAGGAAACACCCCAGGAGAGCAACAGGACCAAACGAGGACCCCTGGTAGGAGGTCCAAGAAGAAGTGCTCGTGCAGCTAGGTAAACCCAGAACAGGGGCAAGCTATCCCGGGGAGGGGGACCCAGGTGTCCTGATTACCACGGGATCCCCATTTATTTAGTATGGAGAGGTCATGAACTAAAGAGCTGCTGAATCAATTCATTTTCTCATCTATAAATTCCAGTTTCAGCGGTGGCTAAATAAGGAAGTGGAATGTGTCTACTCTCTGGGGTGGGGGCGGTGGGGGCGAGGTAAGTGCACTGGGAAAAATGAGACTTTTCCAAACCCTGAGACTACTTGGTTGTTTTTGGTTTTGTTTTTAAATTATGTAGCAAGAATAACATTCAGCAGTGGGACAGCAACTAGAGAGCAAAGGAGGCCTTGTAAAGGCTCTACATCCTTTCTACCCAGGCAGAAATAGCCACTGGAGGGAAGTTATAAGGTTTATAACGGGGGAGCTGACAGTGTCTGAGGCTCGGCTCTCAGCAGAGCCCATGCAAGGAACCCAAACCAATTCAAGTCTCGTCACTGTCCAAGAGAGCCAGGAGAGAGGACGTGCAAGGCCCATTTCTCATTCTTATTCACGCCTATCTATGAATTCTGGCTAATTACACCTGAAAACTCCTTTGTGACTTAACAATTGTGCTACTGTGGGATATACAGTGTTGCCAATACCTTCCAAATGTGTGTTGTTTCCTTCCTTTTTTTTTTTTTTTTAAAGGGGGGTGGAGCAGAGGGAGAGGGAGAGACTCTAAGTAGATTCCAAGCCCCGTGCAAGCCCAACACGGAGCTTGATCCCACAACCCTGGGATCATGACCTGAGTCGACATCAAGAGTCGGACACTTAACTGACGAAGCCACCCAGGCGCCCATGTCGTATACTTTAAATAGTTATTTGGGCTTAATAGAGAAAATGAGATGATTTAAGACTATAATATGGGTTTAAGAGGATAAAATTAATCTGTCTTTCTGACAAATTAGCCTAGCGTAGCTCACCTGCTGAGAAATTCATTCTTCCTAACCATAGTCCACAGCCAGGAGATCAAGGTACAGGATGAGTCAGGGGTCACGGACGAAGAAGGGGGAAGACGGAGAAAGGGAGAAAGAGACAAGATCAAAAAGGATGACGGGAGACCAGAAAAACAGACACCTTCAACATGCCATCCTCCGCAGTGTCAGTCACAACACCAGATTAACAAGGCAAGACGGATGTTCACACTTCCAGATTCCATCTGAGTTTACAGAGGAACCTGGGAAGTTAAAAAATAATAATAAGCTTCAGATACATGCATACGGTTAGTCAACAACGTTTGGAAATGAAACATCTTTCACACATACTCGCCAACCAGAAAACAGAGAGAATAAAAATGAGATCATAGTGATAAAACAGTTCTTTTTCCCAGGCAGACAGCAGCACATAGTTTTTAAGAGCTAGGATTTATCAAATGCCATTCAGTTATTCAAGCACAGTCCCTCAAATTTTCTATAACCAGGGCGTCCTCTGACACCCTGCATCTCTGCCACCCTGTCCCAGTCATAAGCATCTCATTTATTCAAGCCAGTCACGCAAACTGGTCTTCACTCCTCCAGGTCACAAGTGTTCTACAATGGGCTTAAATGGAATAAATAAGTAGGAGCGTCCTAAATCCTTCCCTCCTCCCTTGTAGCGGGCCTTATTTATACCTGCCCTTTAGAAAGGAGAAGCCTCCTGTTTTACACTTAGCCTACAAACTTGACAATGCCCACTCTGATCTTTATCTAGATTCTGAGTCTTGCAAAACAATCCTCCCTCCTCCCCACCCACTCTGGTTTCCTGTAGGGTCTGACCTTGTAATAAAAACAAAGGGGCTCCTGCAGCTGCCCCTGTGAGGGAACAGCAGCTGCCCTCAGGATTGGGTTTCTAGCAAACGTGAAGCAATTTTTCTCTATTGTATAAAATGTATGATCCTCTGGCTAAAAATGCACTATTTTACAGTTTCAAATCCGATCATTTCTTAAAGATGACTTAACAATGACCTTTCACTAGTTGCTGAAAACAAAAAAACACCAAGCGAGGAGGTTTGTCATACCTTTCTTGGACTTTCCTGCGTTTAACAGAAAACAAAAGGACAAAGATTTCATTCATTTGAGAGCTTACAAAGGAACATTTCACAAGTGGTTCAAAAGCCAATAAGCATTACAACTTTAAGAGCTGAGTTCCTGGGCTCTCTGCTTTAAACTCTGCTCTCAGAGATCTTTTTTCTGGGAAAACAGAGCTGATGGAAGGAAGGCTGATACTTACACCATTGTTCTTGATGTATCCATTATGAATAAGCAGCCAAAAAAAAAAAAAATAGTTCACTTAAGTTAATTGTGTAACTCCCCCCAAAATGATAACATCTATTACATCTGAGTCAATGAAAATGCGTTGGGTCCAGTTTTTTCAAAACCATGGACTTTTACTTGCCTTTGCCATTTTAGTGAAGCCAAAACTGTGTTAGTGAAACAATTCTAAATGCAATAATGATTCATCCCTCCTGGGGATGGGCCACCTGTAGGGGCTTAGGAGAAAATCCTGCCAATTTTCCGGTCTATTGTGACTCTGAGAACTGCACTCCCTGCCCCTCTTCCTCTGGCTTCACAAGACACATCACCTCTGCTGGGACCAACACACACAGGATGGTTCTCGATTTCCTCAGAAGTTGCCCCATCAGCACCACATGAAATTCTTGAAGAAGAACCCCGCTGGAGAGCTGCAGCAGGAAAGAATGCAGCCGCAGTCTTCCCAGATACACAAAAGCAAAGCACATCGGTGAAGGACCAGAGCAAAAGATAGCTGAAAGTCGATGGATTTTGCGGAGTTCATCCTTAATGGGGCCTTAATGGAATTGGCTCACATTTCCTCTATGAACCAACCCATCATGGGGATTCCCATTCTTTGTTGGGCAAAAGGAGATTAGAAAAATAAAGATCAAGCATCCTTTGGTTTCACCAAAATTCTCATTAAGAATCCTCTTACATGGGGCGCCTGGGTGGCTCAGTGGGTTAAAGCCTCTGCCTTCGGCTCAGGTCATGATATCAGGGTTCTGGGATCCAGCCCCATGTTGGGCTCTCTGCTCGGCAGGGAGTCTTCTTCCCTTCCTCTGTCTCTGCCTGCCTCTCTGCCTACATGTGATCTCTGTCTATCAAATAAATAAATAAGTATCTTAAAAAAAAAAAAAAGAATCCTCTTACATGATAATCTTAATAGCTCTTGAATTCGCAAATCTCTCCAGTTAGTATAAAGGTCTGGTTTTTATTACTCCTTAAGAAATAACTTTTGACATAAAATGTGGTGTTGTGGCCAATCCAAGCTCTGATGTCTTCAGCCAGTGGGAAAAACCCATTGAAAAAGTCTATAAATATCACAGAAAAATGCTTTAACAGAAAATGGACTTGACCCACAAGTGAACAATGATAAACGAGAGCCAAAATATCAAGACTCACTTATGTTCATTATTTATAAATTATAAGAGATATCTTAACTTTATAAATCATGAGATATTTTAGCTTAAGAAATTATAGCAAAGAAAATAAAAGTGAAGTTCAATCAACTGTATTTGATTCACATGTTAACACTGTAAACCTTTCATGCATTATAAACCTCTCTTATGAACACTACAGCTCTATGAACTCTTAAACCACATCTGGTGATGATTCAAAAACCTCATTCAAGTGAGAGAGAGCTATATATATGCATATGCATATATATATATATATATATAAAACATACACACATATATACATTTTATATATACACAAAATCCATACATAATATATATACATAACATATATGTATATATATATTTTTTTCTTTTCTTTTTTTTTCTTTTGGTGAGAAACCTGTGTTTATCCCCTGGTACCACTGGCAGAAGGGCTGAGCAGTCAGAACTGAATTCCAGCCTGGTTGGAGGGAAGGGTTTCAATTCCACTAATGCATGAATGCATTTAGAGCCCAAATGGTGACCACTCCATCGGCAACCCCCTTTATATCCTGGGCATTCCCCCATCACGGCATGTACCACATTTCATTTAAATCATCTTTTTTTTTTTTTTTTTAAAGATTTTATTTATTTATTTGAGATAGAGCAAGAGAGAGAGAGAGCATGAGAGGGGGAGAGGGAGAGGGGAAGCAGACTCCTCGCCAAGCACGGAGCCTGATGCGGGGCTCGATCCTAGGACTCTGGGACCATGACCTGTGCTGAAGGCAGATACTTAACTGACTGAACCACTCAGGACTCCTTAAATCATCTTTATGTATCTTTCTTCCTCACTAGAGTATAAGCATGTCAGGCAGTGAGGACTGTGTCATTTATTTGCATTCTTGGGTCTCTAGAACCACGTCTGGTCAAAAGTTGGGGCCCATATAAACTATTGACCTAAATGACTGTGTTGACACAACTCTAATCCTCTCGATGAGAAGCTCACCTCTGGAAATGCATTACAGTAACTTCTCCGAGCGCCACAAAGACTATTCGACAACTCCATTACAAATGCAGTGTATTATTACTAAGAAATGAAAGATGCCCAGGATCTAAGTCTACCCGAAACCTAACAACCACATAGAAGAAAAGCTCAGATCCCATGAAAGGCCCAATGGGAATGTGGTCCTGGGCCACTAGTGTGTCCTCTCAATGACTCTTCAGCATATGTCGCAACAGAATAGTGGCTCAGCCCACAGACCGGGTAAGTGGCTTCATTAAGGCAACTGGCGATCTCTCTGGATCTCCACCGTCTCTCTTTTCTTTCTACAGAATGGGACGGTTAGTCATTCTAGAGGAGCCTTCCTGGTTTGGGAATTCAATTGAATTGAGGAAGTGCAGTGGGTATGTTTAAAAGGTGCCTGCCATATGTATAATAGGAAAAGTTACCTTAGTACAACAATAAGGTGACAGAGATCCTTCCCCAAAGAAGACTCGTTAAGGATAAAACCCAGGATATTGGTTGTTCCCTCTCTAAAGATCCCCACCCCTGTTCTTGCTCCCTCTCCCGGAGAAATTCTAATGCTTACCCACAGACACAATGTGTGATTTAATAGGTACGTACCTCTGAGCGTCCTCCGAGAGTCTGAGTCTTTGGTCATGGTCGCCAGCGAGTGAGGGAGGACGCTGCCACAGCTGTTGCTCTGTCCCAGGGGCAGGTGAGCCTGTGAGAACCAGGAGGAGACACTTCAGGCAAACTGCCTGCCACAGGGTCCTTCAGGACAGGGCCACATCCCTGCCTACAAAACTCCAGGGTTAGCCCAGTAGGCAGGGACGGTAGAAAGTAGGAACGAAGGCATCCCTGTAATTCACGCTAAGTGGCAAAGGCCAGTCACGGACCCTTCCAAGAAGCCCCACGGCAGGCTCAACGTCACAGCAATCTCTGCAGGGGAAGCAATTCCAAAAATGAAGACAGATGGGGCAACGCTGTTCAAAACCACCTTAAAGGACAACTCAGTTCTTCATGCACAAGGAGCCGGGGGCAGGTGCAGGGACAGGAATGCAGGCACATCATGCACAAGGAAGAGAAGAGGTCTACTTGCTACAAGTGTACCAATGTCCTGCTCCCCCTCAACACTGGAGAAACCTACTCAATATTGTAGTCTTTCAAAATAGAAAATCGCAGTGTGCTATATACCCGGGACCCCAGTTTATAAAATAGATTAAAACAAAGTTACTCTGACCGAAGGCAAGGGAAAGGCCCCAAAGCCTGGCTCACTCAGAACCTCTTTCTCATCTGCCCTTCCCCCTCTTTCTGCAGTGACCGCCACCCCCCCCCCAACAAGTCATCAAAACAGGAGTGAGGACTCAAGTGTCACACCACGGGGGTTCAATGTCCCGCTTCACTGCTAACCAGCTGAGGGCGCTTGGGCTAGTCGCTTAGTCTCTTCACACCTCAGTTTGTCCGAACGTACAATGCAGGTAATACAGAGTACCTTGGCTGAAGAGTGCTGCCAGATTTTAAAATGAAACAATCCATATAAAGGGTTTAGTGCAGGGTCAGGCTCACAGAAATGCTCTCAGTAAATATTTGTGGCTATTATTCCTGGAATCCAGAGTTAATAACCTCCAATTTCCAGATCTGGGAGGCAGTCATGGTGAATCTGTCGTGTAAATGCACACTCTCCGCCACTTGTGTGATGGTAGAAAATACCCAGGCCCAGGTTCTTTGGTCCTGGACGTACAATTCAGTACGTCCTCTGAGTAGGATAGAAAATGCAATATAGTTCTCTGTCTGCCCAACAAGCAAACTTAATGGTTTATTATTCGGCATTTTATTCAAGAGCCTTTGCATGTTGGCCAACATGAGGACAAGAAGACTCACTGAATGCAAAGCCCATGGTTCACCCCACGTCCTACCTTTGGGGCGGTGCTTCTCCCCATAGTAGCACTGCTGAAATGTGGGGATATGGAAGGTGTGGTTTTCTTTCGAGGCAAAGTGTCACTCAGATAGAGGCCTTCTTTATGCTGTTTTTTCCTTTCTTCCAGACTTCTAAAATGCTTTAAATGCAAATGTAAAGCAGAATAGCAAAACTTGACTAATTGAAAGAGGTCACTGAAGAAATTAAGAAGTATGCATTTACAAAGGAGTTTTGGAATTTTAACACAGAATTTTAAAAAAAATCAACTTATACTTGCGTTCACTAACAGACTAGGGCTAGCATTTGGTAAGATACATAGACACTGGAAGAATTTATTACTCAACCAAGAAACTTAAAAAAAAAAAAATCCACCTTTCACTTTCATAGTTAGTTCCTGCAGCCTTGGGGCCTCAGGACAACTTACAAATTATTATGATGGTCGCCATGTGGATGGCGGAACAGCCAGTGGACAAAGCAAGTAAGCAGTTTCTCCCCTTGTCTTTCTGGACAGTTCTGTGTGATAGCACAGATCCCAGTGTGAGGAGAACAAGGAAGGGAGAAGATGGAGAGAAAGAGCGAGTGAACAGGGAAGTTGTTTTAAAGTCGGAATAATATTTTAATTACATATAAACACTTCAAATCCATATAATGCTTCCATATAAGGCATTCTTCTAGGTTATTCTTTCATTTAAAAAAAAAAGCTTAGTCAAGAAACCCCTACACTAATCCCTCATATTTAAAGCCTTGGAGGCAATTTTTTTAAATTTTATTTATTTATTTATTTCACAGAGAGAGATCACAAGTAGGCAGAGAGGCAGGCAGAGAGAGAGATAGAGGAGGAAGCGGGCTCTCCGCCAAGCAGAGAGTCCGATGTGGGACTCGATCCCAGGACCCTGAGATCATGACCTGAGCTGAAGGCAGAGGCTTTAAACCACTGACCCACCCAGGTGCCCCTAATCCCTCATATTTAAAAACCCTTCTGTTGACCATTTCTTTTTTTTTTTTCCAGATTCCTAAGGCAAAATTTTTGCCAACTTGAAATTTATCCAAATTTTTCTTAGCCTCCCCCCAAAATGTCTTGAGTAGTAAAGTTATTTCCTAAGTAAAGGTTCTTGGGGTTTGATCATTTTTATACTAAGCTCAGGCTGTTGAAATACATAAGAATTAATGCAAATCTGAGTTACCAAATTTATGATCAATCTTTAAACATGCCAATCATGAAATACACCTGCATTTTAACTTTATATTATCTACTTACACTAGTTACTATTTATTAACCTAAAAGTAGTGAGGAGATACAGTCCTTTAACAATAGGTAAAAGGCAATAAAGGTAACTTTGAGAAATGTAATGGCTGGGCCCAGCAAAGCAGGGCTCATCTAATTGTCTAGGACTATGACTCCTTAGCATCTTCTGGGGCCAAATTCATATAGAAATCTGATGATAGTTGAAAGGAACCCTCAAAAGAGACTTTTTGAATACCTATGCATGATTATACACTAGATGTACTAAAAGAAGGGTGGCATTCATAATGAAATGTTTATTTAAAAACAGGTGATCAATAAAAACTTCTATGAGCCAAATGCATTACTTGTGGTGTGACCTTGGACAAGCTATTTACCTCTGCTAAGTAAGCTCAGTTCCCTAAATGTCAATAAGGAGATCAATTCTTATTTCACAGGATCATTAGAAGGAAGAAAGGAGATATTTATTTGTAAAATGTTTAGCGAATTATGACCCATAGCGAGGGCATGATGTCATTATGATTTCGGTAACATGTAAGAAAAATATTTTGTGCTGACACAGCAACTTTTTATAGCATGGATTTAACGGAAATAATTATTAGCATTTTGAAAACTACCTGAGACAAGTTACACTATTTTGGCTGAATGGGAACTGAAGCGTAAGGATATAAAACATATCTAGCTTCAACATACCAAAAGTCAAGAGAGGACAGTCAAAGGGTCAAAGTTTAGGACAATCCTAACACCCCTAAAAAATACTAAAGGTCCTTAAAAAAAGCATAAGAGCAAAAGCCAACCAAATAAAAGAAAACCCACCAAAGGAACAGGTACTTGTCTCTTTAACAAAATACCTTTGGAAAAGTGGAAGGAAAGATTCCATATCAGTGACTGCTGTCAAGGTCAAAGTCTCAGACTCTGAACACCAGTGCCTAGTTACCTGTTGCTCCTGCTGCTGCCGCTGCCTTCTGTGTTTCTTAGCTGGTAGAGGAGGAGGTGTGTCATTTAATGGGAAAGGATCGACAGACGGAGCCAGGACTTCGGGCCAAGGGGCTGATGGAGGTTGAGTGACAGGATGAGGAGAGAGGGTGGAAGGAAACATAAATCCAGAACAGACAGGTGATCTTTGCTTTATAGGAGAAAGAAAAAGTATGTATGTGTCCATATGAAATGAAAGAATAAGACAAAGAAATGAAATTGATAATCTCCTTATTCTGTTTTCTTGTATTTTAATCAAGAAGTCACAAATGGTGGGCAGGATCTTTCAATTTAGGTTTTTGTTAAAATTCTACTCTGGGAACAACTTGGAACAGTTAGAAGATACTTTACTATTCTTTGCCCCTCCCCAGATGTTTTAAAAAGGCATAACATTAAAAAAAAAAATCCATCCCACTAACACAAGAGAAAACAAAATCAAACTGGAAAAATGATTCAAGCTAACAATTTGAGAAAGGCTTTTCGGTTTCTATGAAAACGAGGTTGGGTCAGAGGGCTACGATCTAGATTTTATAATTTTGAACTCAATTCTCCTGGTACTGCACTCTGCACCATATATTTCATAATTTCCAGTATGAAGAGTCACAAAACAGTGCCCCAGGTGGGTATGTATTTCAAACTCAGCGTCACTCTGGCCCGTTGGTCAACCAGATGTATATGGTCACACACACCTTCATTTTCAGGTAACCATGGGTTAATCTCTGACATGAGGAAAGCAGTGAACGAATGAAATGTCATGCCAACACACCTCTTTATTTTGTGGCTGGCTCACCAGCACAGCTGTGGTAGGCCCAGTGGCAACAGCATCAGCGTCAGCGGGGAACTGAGTGGAAGGGGATAGATTCGTGGAATTGACACATGGCTCATTAATTTCATTTACACTGATATAGCCCTAAAAGGAGGAATTCAGAAGTTAAACACAAAGAAAGCAAAAGCTGAGGCATGCAAGAGTATTAATGCTCCCAGTACAATGGAGTTAGCTTTGAGCGGCACAGCCAAGTATCTGTGGAATGACCAAATGTTGCATTAAGGGAATCATCAGCAATTAAAATGGATTTATGACACTTAATCTTGAAAAGTGATATTACAAGCATTACACATAATTTGGGGGGGGTGAAGTCAAGATGACTAAATTATATATAAACAACCTAAAACCTTCAATTTTAGATTTTTTAGAGATAACAGCATTCATTCTGTTGATTGAATAAGGGTGTCATTATACAACATTTAAAATAACCACACACACGCACAAATCTGAGATATAAAATTTACAATGCAATCTCTCATTCCATAATTCAAGAACCTTTTCCACAAATCTTTATTTTTAGATTTTCTTCTTTTCTTCTGTTTTTACAAGTTAGAGTGTGAGTAAAAGTGGGCTGAAGTCTTCAGGTTTTTGTACAGAGAAATTTTATAAATACTAATTTATTTGTAATGCAATCTAGCTTTTAGGTCTCCTCTTGAGCCTTCCCCAGCAAGATAAATGTGTATACGTGCGCATGTGCGTACGTGCACGCGCACGCGCGTGCTCACACACACACACACACACACACACACACACACACACATACACACACACACAGAACCTGCAGGAGAGTTGCAGCTCGAGGCTATTTCAATTCAAGGCAGCTTCCCCAACCCTCCAGCTCTACCCCAGGACAGAGAATTGCCCATGACAATGATTCAGTTTTGGCTTCAGCTTCAATAAAATACCCACGAATCAAAACCTGGGAGATTCAAAACTCCCAAATTTATATTTGAGGAAAAGGCACTTGTAAATTTTCATGGAAAGTATTTGTACAGACCAATCGTAATTTTCACCATATCAACAAAACAGTGGGAAAAGTAGAAGAAAGAGTATAGAATAATATTTCTCTTTTAAAGGTAAAATTGAGTTAAATTTAGCACTTGGGATCCTCCATTAGCCCATCAATCCTTTAAAAAAGTGGCTCCAGGGTAGGCAAGATATCATTATGCTGGTGAAGCAAGAATTTCAGGCTGGAAAGCAAGGTTTTTACTGATTTATAATTATGGCAAAGTGGGGAAAGCTAAAGTTGACTATAAATTGTAGGTTTCAAAATGCTGCTGAATACAGTCTTGAACTTCATGGCAATAGATACCATGTAAAGTTTCAGAAGATTAAACTGAAGAAAGGAAGTTGACAACTGGATTGTAGATTTAATTTTGTCTTTGGTAATGAATGGGAATGAAGAGAAATGACTTTCAGTTATGCTTTTGCTCAGTTGACAGTGTGGTGTTTCAAAACAAAGATTTGATTCTTCATACATCACAGACCATATAACCTGATTTATTGCTTCAAACATGTATGCCATTTGTCAAAAGTGGCACTTGTTTGAAAGAGTTAGATATAAATTAATCAGTCCTTAAAAAAAGAGAGAAGGGTGAAAGAATGAGACGGTGAGAGAGAGGAAGAAAGGAAGAAATTCAAAACATCTCGTGAGCCAAGTCGGCTTAGTCCATGAAAGAGAACACAGTTACCCAACAAACATAAGAGTTGGAGAGATACCAACTTTGGTTTTTGATAGTCAAAAACCAAACAGGCTTTTGGCATCAGGAAGTCTGCACAGAAAAAGAACTCATTAGCATAAAAGGGAAGATTATTTTCTTGTACCAAGAGGTAAAAAGATGCTAGAGTTTATCTAGTTCACTGGGATGCCACAGTCCTTCAAACTCAGTAGGTCCAGAGTCAACCCATGTATCTTCCCTCTTAAGCCTGTGCTGGCCCCAGTCTTCACTACCTCAGGAAAAGGTCCTTACTGTTCAGCTCATGACTCAAACTGGAAAAATGACATCATTCCTAATACCTCCCTTGATTTACTTCAATCTTATATCCAATCTATCAGCAAGAACTGTCAACTCTGCCTCTAAAATGTCTGCATCTGACTATTTCTCTCCATCTCTCTGCCATTGCATGAAGGCAAGAGAGGAGCATCTCCAGCCTTCACTACTGCAATTCCCTCCCTCCCAGCTCCCCTGCTTTTCCTCTCACTACTCATAAACTGGGCCAGTGGCCCAGAGGGATGCTTAACAAATGGATATCAAATAATACCACCTCCCTGCTTAAAATCTCTCACTCAAGGACTGCCCAGCCACATATGATAAACCATATTTCTTTAACACACCTCGTAAGACCTGGTCCCTGCCCACCTCACCAATGTTCTCTTCTTCCGCTCCACTCCATCCACTATGACCCTGTGTCTACCGAATCTGTGAGTTCCATCTTCTGAATAATGGAGAGAAACTATGAAACTGAATCATCTAATAAAGCTCTTTCACAAAATGCTTCCAAGATCCACATTATTCATACTTCTTCTGTGATGAGCATCTACTTCAGACACCTATACTCACACACAAAATACTTCCTATGTAGGAAGTCTTAACTTTGCTATTGTTTAAAAAGATACTTAGAAATAAAGGGTTTTGGGGTTTTTTTTGTTATTACACACATTTTTATGCAGCAGCAAGCTTTTTCTTTAGCTTTTTGGAAAAAAACAAATATAATGACTTTTAGTTGGGACAAATGATAGCTACACTCGTGTGCACAGGTAACATACAAACTTGCTGAATCACGATGTTGTACACCTACAACAAATGTCACATGTGTGTCAACTATACTAAAAAAAAACCAACTATTTTCTTTCTCAGTCAGGGTTATGACTTTCCAAATTAGAGTTAAAATATTCTTCCATTGTAGTAGCATAGCTCCATAAAAAAAAAGTATTTCAGAAAGATGGATGTTTGGGAGCAAGAATGTGTGGAGCTTAATGCAAATAGGATTTTCTAAGTTAGGGAGGGAAAGAGCACAAACAACATTGGGGGGAAAAGAGACAGAGAAAAGAAAGGCACCAGGCTATCTTATCAAATGTGCAGAGACATTTTCATTTGCTGTCAGATTCAGGAGAAGGAGAAGTAACATAAGAAAGAGGAGGAACTGAAGAAGGGCATTGCAGAGAAGAAGAGAATTTAAGACCTAATCTTGGTTTGGATCTTAACTTGTCTGAAGCCCCAAGTTAACCCACAATGTCGCTGTCAAGCGTGGTCTGCACACACACACACACACACACACACAAACACACACAGTGCACCTGCACCAAACACAAAGATAATCTGTGAAATCCTCAAAGCATAAATAAAAGGCAGGAAAACCATAAAGCATTGATGCTTTCCAAGTCACTCAAGTTAATGTTTTCCTATTTAGTTAATCATCTAAAATGGAGGCACAGCTCTTGATCTCTAAGGTGATAGAAGGGGACACAGAAAATCACAGCTTACCTCTTTCAGAGTACTGGGGTTGACAGGAAACCCTTTCCCCCCAGAGAGGCTGGAGTATTTCTTTTCCAAATTACAAAGATTTTCCTTTTCCTGAAGGAACACGAAAATCTATTAAGCTTGGCCAATCTTAGATTTCCCTGATGGCTAATGATGTTGAGTATTTTATCATGTGTCTTACTAGCTCTTCATACATCTTCTTTTGTGAAGAGTTTGTATTCAATTCTTTGGACTGCTTTTTAAAATTTATTTATTTATTGAGTGTTTATTGATCATTATTGAACTGGAGGAGTTTTTAATATAGTCTGCATATAAGTCCTTTGTCATTTCCTCTTTAAGAAAAGTTTGCTCACCCCAAGGTCAGAGAAGTGCATGTGCAGTACTGCATTTCCTTCTAGAAAGTTTATCACTTTAATTTTTCTGCTTCAGTCTACAATCTGCCTTGAATTAATTTATATGTGTGGTGTGAGGACAGAGGCATTAGTATTCGTTTGAATGTTTACCCAGGTGATACAGCACAGTTTGTTGGAAAGACTTTCTTTTTCCTGGATTATCTTGGAGCCCTTTGTGTAAAAAAAAAAAAAAAAAAAATCAATAGATGGTATATGTGTGGGTTTATTTCTGGACTTTCTGTTTGGTTCCATTGATCTATGTGTCTAGCTGTATGTCAGCACCACATCATTTTAAATACTATAGCTTTAGAGGCAACTTTGAAATCAAATAGTATAAATCTTCCAACTTGGTTCTTGTTCAAAGTTATTTTGGCTACTCTATGCCCTTGGCATTTTCATACAGAGTTGATTCTCATTACTTGTAATTCTTACGCTCTGAAGCATTGCCATGAACACTGAATTGGTAAACACTGAACCCTTGTTCCTACAGGAAATACAGAGATGGATTACTGTGTGCTTCCTCAAAAAAATTTCGTCAACTGATCAATCCGTAACTGTGCTTTATGTGTGTTTCTGTTTAAAGATACCGTATTTGATATATAGTTGATTAAACACTGAACTTGTAGCTAAAAGCACTGTAATTTATGCCTGAATGAAACTTATTTAAGACACACATTTTCGGGGCACCTGGGTGGCTCAGTGGGTTAAAGCCTCTGCCTTCGGCTCGGGTCATGATCCCAGGGTCCTGGGATCGAGCCCCACGTCAGGCTTTCTGCTCAGCGGGGAGCCTGCTTCCCCCCTCTCTCTCTGTCTGCCTCTCCATCTACTTGTGATCGCTATCAAATAAATAAAATCTTAAAAAAAAAAATTTCTAGACCAGAGCTGTGCATGGTATGCATTTAAAAAAAAAAAAAAAAAAAAAAAGAAGACACACATTTTCTCCATGAGGCACATTGCAACTTTCCCGCCCTTAGGAACACTAGAGAGTATGTTAGCACTATGCTGGGGAGGCATTTTAAATAGCCTAATCAACAAAAAAAGCACAAGCAATGTGAAAACACAGCACAAAATAATCCACAAAAATGACTCTTATTTACTCTGTGAGAGTTGAAACAGGAAGGTAGAGGATTGCTTTGTTCAACCTCAGCAGGGAATTTGTATGCTGCGGGACTCAAAACTTTTGCTGCTCTGCACACATCCATCAGTGAACTGTACGACAAGTATGACTGGGGGGTTGCAAGTGGACTTTAGTGAGCAGGCAAATTCACAAATACAGACTCCTTGAAAAATGCAGATCAACTACAGGTTTGAAGCATCCATGTGTCCATTTCTACAAAAAAAGTCGGCTAGGATTTTTATTGAGACTGAGACATATCTACAGATCAATCTGGGAAAATACAAATCTTCGTAATTAGCACAATTTTTAGAACAGAATTATATTTTAGGTATTTTAATGAGGAAGTGGTATTTGTATGATGGTGATCACCCATTCTAAAAAAATCTATCACTATGAGATTCCCCTACCTCCTTTTTGCTAAAACTTCAGAACTATTTAAATCCTACTTATTACACTATCTGATTTAAGCTGTGCCTTTGAATAGCATGTGCAAAGAGTGGAGCGGATATTAATGGAAGAGCTCGTCCCCAGAGCAGGAGACAGGGATGAAAAACCATAAAACCATTCTGAGATTTTTGGTGCCAAAGAAGCAGGAGGGGAGTTGGGAGGGATTTGCGTGGGCTACATAGGTGCACCTTGAGTGGACGCATACTTCTATGTGAAGGACCAATTTTTTTTTCCCTTCTCAACCTGAAAATAGTTAAATGCCTAAGTTGAGAATATTCCAGCTACACGTCTGGTAGTGGGGAAACACGGTCTAGCCTCATCCTTTAGTCCCTCATTCTTTCTCCTGTACCCCATTCTGGGTACATCTCATATTTTCAGGATCCCAAAGCGTCACATCCTAGGCAGTGGCCTGCATACAAGGATCAGCGCTGAGACCAGCCCATCAACTTTAATTAACTTTTGGTGTCTTAGATCTTAGACTATGTCAGAAAATCAGACTGGGCAAAGGAAACCCTTTCTGTGCAGTCACATTAGGCCCTGGGCAGATGGGACCACAGTCCCCTTGGTAAGGATGGTCTTGCCCCCATTGCTGGGGCTACCTAGCCAATGAAGCCAAACTAAAGCCAATGGGGCCATTGCCAGATGGGGACCCATAGGCAAATAATTAATCAAATAATCTGGCCCACAGCAGCTGGGCCAAATCGTTTGACAGCAGCAAAAAAAGCAGAATATATTCTACCTGTTTGAAAAAAAAAATCTGTTTTTTCAAAAGAAGAAAATCTGAAAACGTACATATTTTTCATGGTTTGAATTTTCACACCATGGAAAAATCATAAGGAAAACGTCCTTACTTATTTTCTGAATTAATTGTTCACAGAGCACCAGCTTACTAATGTGGAGGATTAAGTAAAAATGTATATTAAAAAGCTTTTTAAAATTATAATCCACTATTCATTATCAAAAGGCACTTGCTTTGAAGGAAGGAGCTTCCCCCAAGCTGGAACCTGAGTTTTATTGCAACCAGTGCTAAAAAAGGAAATACTTACTCTCTGTAACATCATTATTAAATTATTTTTTTCTTTCACAAAATGATCTTGTTCTCTCTGAGCCTGCTGGACAATGTGATTGGCTTGCTTTTTCAATGCAGAAATTTTTTCCTGGAGGAAAAAAGATGATCATATACAGACGCCCGTTAGACATTCAATGGTTTGCCAGTATATCCTGGAAAAGGGAAAAGTGTTTACAGCTGGATCAGCAATGAGGACATTTTTGCTGGTGGTAGGCAGTGATTCTTATCTAGAGACTGTGAAGTAGTCTCTTTGACCTGCCAAGATGAAGGCTACTCTTTACCTAAGGCCAATCCAGTCCACGTGGTTTAAAATCTATTTGAAGAATGCAGAAGTCAACAGGAAATCTTGTTTTAGACTTGGGAGATGCCTCATGGGAAAAATAACAATGTAAGTTCTTATTGAAGCTGAGAGCTTAAAAAGTCACCTTCTTCATCTCCCTTCCCCTCAGTTCTACTGGTTTAGTATAGGGGGGCTGGGATGTGATTCTAAGTTTTGGAACAAGAGCTAAATTCTGGGGTGGGACATCAAGGAGAAGGAGGTGGGCAGAGCCAACGATGTGTATGGTGTCTGGCAGGGCTATTTCTAATGGTAATAAGCTATCAGCCAACTTCGGGAACTATGAGCAGTGAAAACCAAAAATGCCAAAATAGACTTTGTTCGCAGAACTATTCTAAATCTAGTTACTGTGATTGCAAATGCAAGTAACTTAAAACAAATATCTGAATTTCTGATTTTTATCTCCCTTGGTTTTCCCATAAATGAAAAAAAAATCAGGTATTATAAATCAATGGCATCTACAGCATTAAGTAACAGCAACTAACACATGTTGGTGTACCCAGCTTGGAGCACTATTTGGTATGTAGATTTCAGCTCCATAATCTGTCAGATGTGACATGTGGAGAAACACACCTGGATATTTGGATATAAAGACAGGTAGACAGAGAGCTACATTAATGATGATTCCTGTCAGGGAGTGAGGGGCGAATGTGGGTTTTTCACACTGAATGACACCTGGCAAAAATACCTTTCGAGTCACGATGTTCCGCTGATACTCAGCTACTTCACGTAGGAGCTGTTGGGTCAGGTTCTCCTTCTCCTCATCCAGACGGCTCTCACGCTCAAGCTGCTGGAATTCCAGGTCTTCAAAGTGTTTGCTCTCCACATCCAACAGGTCGGCATCCTTTGGAGAAAGGGGAATGAAAACAAGACATACCAGAATGACTGTAGCCATCTTAACATGAAGAAAAAAAATATTAAAAGCAAACAGTCCAAAATATCTTTCTAATTACTAAGCTGACCAGGGCTGGACCATGATAATCCAGTCTTTTGGAGTTAAATCCTGGAGCAGTGACCATGAGAATGGAATTGAAAGGGATGAGGGGTGGGGCAGGGAGAGAAGCGCTGGTTGGACCATCAGTTTGACACTGTTCTGTGAAGGTAGGACTTCTTGCTTGAAATCTACTAGGTGGTTTTAAATGGACCCTGAAGTATAAAAAGAATTTGGTAAATAACTAAACATTTTCTGTCCACCAAGGTGTGACATGGTCTCTTGAGAAAGCTCCCATTTTCCAAAACTTTCAAATGAAAGGAGATTTTAGTATAGAAATAAAATTCAAGATTCCAAAGTTACTGACTACAAAAAAAAAAAACCAGACTCAAAATCTGGCACACATAGAGATTAGATCTATATGATATATATATAGACATGCATGCTCTAATAATTTTGTTGAAAGGAGAAGTCATTGAAAACATTTGGTGGTTGGTATTCTTACACTAGGCTTCTGTGAATCCCTGAACATTGTTTACAAAGATTTTTACCGGAAGGGTGGAAGCACAGCATTCATCAGGCACAAAGAAGGTCTCTAATGGTTAAGTACTACTACTCTGGGAATAATCTTGAGGGCATTTAAGAAAGACCAGAAATTATAAAAATCAGATGGTCATCAGATAGGCATTTCCTAACCTATGAAATGTCTGAAGACAGAAGTGAATCTCTATCTGTGCAGAGACTGGCACATGTTGTATAAACAATTCTTTAATCTACATTTAAAAAAAAAACCACTTAATTTTAGAGACTTTGACAAGACCATAAATAAGGTATAGAAGATTTTAAAAATATATATTATTTGTAAATAATCTATGGCCAAAAAGAAACAGTAGCTGGGCTGGGCTAGCTGGTTTATAACTCTACATAGGCAAAATTGCCAGGACGTGGCTTTTTTTTTCCACTTGAAACATCAGAAAGAGTTGGATAAATAAATATGATAAATTAGATTTCTATCAGTTTTTAAACATACCACCCCCTCTTTTGGTTTTGATGTGAGTGATAAATTAGGCCTTTTAATCAAATGGAATAATATATTTCTGTCTTCTGGAATGAATTTTATTTGGGGGATGATTCACAGAAGGATGATCAACTACCATGTAATTACAAGCGGCACTATAGCAACAAGATTATTATGTCAACACAGTGGATTCTTAAAAGTTAAGAGCAAGAAAAACAATTTGAAAAACATATTCAGCATTTTTGAGCACTCTTTTTTTTTTTTTTTTTTACATTTTTATTGGCTAAACAGAAAGCAGTCTTGGTTTCAGGTTATTGGTGGACATTCAAGTTTATCAGACATTTTATGCTTATAACTTCTAAAGGAATGAATGAATTTGGCCCAAATCTAGTCACTACTGAAGTAATTGAGAGATAACTCGAGCGTTGTATCTTGAAACAAAATCCCTGCAGTCTTGAAACAATACATCAGTGGACATATTTACTCACGCAGTCATTCATAGTCAAGTTTTTATCTAAAAACTTTCTTTTAAGTCTTTCAATTAAGCTTGGTTTGTGGCTAAAGATTATTGAGAGAAATAGTTTCATAAACTTTTTTTTTTAGTTTATAAGTAATCTTTACTCAAAGTGGGTATGAATCTCACAGTATGCCGACTACGGTAGTCCCGTAGTCCGTCGCTCACTCCACATCTGGTTAATAGACACCATGTGTTATCGTAACCATGTGAAGGTCACAGAGCCACTAATCTGTTTGCAGTAAATATTTAAACTGTTGCATGAAAATAATACACACTGGGTAGGAAAGTTGAAAATTAAAGCTAAGCTTAGCACTCAGATTCTGCTGATACCATCATCTGATCAAGTTGTCCAAACAATTAGAATGTGTGTATATAAACTTACACTGTAAAAGAAAAACTGGGGAGGGGAAAAGGCTTTGCAAAGATTTTAGATAAGAATAAGAATTCAGGGCATGGAATTTGGGGGCAGGAGTCATTGAATTTAGCATACAGTAATATATACAGGAAGCTCAAAGTCAAGGGCAGGACTAGTTGAATGAAAATTTTAACTACGCTTCACTTGCTAAAAGGAACATTACAAATCTCTGCTGGATGGCAATCTCAAAGGCCAGGCACCAAAGGACATAAACGGTTGTGCTCAAGAAAATTCAGTGCAATTCCTTCTTTTTTCCAATAACTGTTTTGAGAATTTCTATGGCAGAAGTTTACATGCAGTCCATCATGCATTTTGTTTTGTTTGTTTTTTTGCTTAGCAGAGGGACAGAAGAAGAGAATAGATGTGGTATAGCAGGAGAGATTCTCAAGACAGCTCAAGGCCAACTTTGAAAACAAATTTAAGTGGGGCTTGGGGTTTGTTCACATTTCTCCATCTTATGCCTTATAGTCAAACACTTTAACTGCACAGTTTTGGAATTTGGAAAAAGAGAATGGAAATCATTCGTGCAACCTTCTCATTTTATATATGAGCACTGAGACCCACAGAAGTTGAAGGATTTATCCAAGATTAAAGGATAAACTGATTGTAGAACTAATGAGAAAATAGGTCTTCTAATTGTTGATGTCACCGAACATGTATATTTATATAATATGTATATATTACATATATATATATATATATATATATATATATATATATATAATCAAGAAACTGAAATCAACCATTCAGTGAGTAAATTACCAAAAGCACAAGAAAACTGTTCTAGCCAGGTGTCTCCTCCATTTAATAGTGGAACTCATCCTGGCAACAACAAAAAAAATCATTTAACTCCTGCTTTCTTTTCCACAATGCTTGCATCCCAGGGAACTACAGGACTGGTGAATCCACCTCACTACATGCAACTACTCAGATGAAAGCTGTATTCTGATTCCAAAGCAGGGGATTAGAAGTAAGAAGCCCGTTCATAAAGCTATAAAGTTGTGCACAAAAAATCATTCATTCCATAACTTCAGCTTAAGTACTTGGGATAACACACATTTAAGAAGATGATGTTCTTCCTCTTCATTTATTTTTTTCTTTTGTATGACTTGCCACCTAATGAAGTTTGTGGTAATAAAATCACCTTTACTGCATCTAGTTTAAATGCCTTTGGGAAAGCTTCGTAGGGAAGTGGCATTCTGAAGGTTTTCAAATCTGAAGGGAAATGAGCTGTGGTAACACAGGAAGTTCCTAGTATGAACGGACTTCTCATGAAGTAAGTGGACTTTTTAACAATTAAGCAGTGGTATCAGTGGAAAGTCACTCTGGTCATCATCCCTGCAAAATTAGTGGACCTCTTAATGCAGATGAACAGAAGCTACCACAAGCCAGTTATCTCTCCCAAGGAAAGGGATTTATGATAAGAATTTTATACTCTGCTCAGGGAGGAAGAAGATAAGGGTCTTTGCCTTGAAATAGTGGAAGAGACTGTCTATATCACTTCCTGTCCTCTTCTGGACATCCTTAGAATGTACATACATTTAGAGTTATCCTACAGAGGCTAGATTAAGCAAACAGACATTATTTATATCAATCCAAGACTCAGATATTAGTAGAATTTACCAATTTTTATTTGCAGTGGTGTTTATAAAGAGTCCAAGCAATATTTGGATAACTAGAGGCAGAGAAGAACAAAATATGTAAGTTGTTGCTGACTCTAGATAAAGTAAAAGGACCACTATGTAAAATCATTAGTAATGAGGAGAGCTAAAAACCAGTGAACCAACATAAAAAGCCGTTTCCCAATCTCTTTGGTGAACTGGCATAAACACAAATTACAAGCAAAAATAATTTTATAAATACTAATGTTTTCCCAGTTATTTTCACCACACGATTTCTAGAGAATTATGACATTGAGGGACAGGAAATTTTCTCTTCTTACAGCAAGTTCAACTGTATACACTAAAAGGAGTAAAGAGGAAGAAGCATTGTTGGGACTTTTTTGATCCAACATAGTAAGAAAGTTACTGTTTGTTAAAATATTAAAATCATTAAGCTGCAGGTTGACCTGCCTGCCTTTGGTACTGTTTATTAAGATGCTTTCAGCCTCTGTAATACACAGAAAAGTTTTAAATGTAATTTTTCATAACCTAATGCTACTCTAAGGTAGCATATGTTTTTATATTAAAGGCCATCTTAAACATTTCCAAGGGTGGGGCTACCTCAGCTGGGGTTTCCACTTGCCGACTTCCAAGAAGGTCTTGACAGAATAGCATGAATGAAACTAGCCTTCTTTTCTAGTCACATGGAATCATGAGCTGTTAGTCACTTAGCACAAATTACTATGACATGACTCTTGGAGATCCAAGACTGCTCCCCAGCTTTATTTGGGCTACTGTTCAGAGCAAACAACCCAATCGTTAAGAGGCTCTGAAATATTATGTGGTCTGGCCAGTGTTTGTGAAACTCTCCACCTCGAAGCCTCATTTCAGCAGATAACCAGCATGGCCATGTTAAGCACAGCCAACTTCAATGACCGGAAAATAACCCGATAAAACCCACCACAAAGTCCACACTGAACTAAGCTTCAAAAAATGAGGAAGCTCGCCTGAGAAGATGCGGAGGACAAGGCCCTGCATCTTGGGTCTTGGTGTTTGCTGTGGCGTACTAAGAAGTTCAATGTCACCAAGAGGCAGAAAGAAAAAGAAACAGTGAGTGGTGATGGGAAGCAAGTCAGAGACAAGGATCGTTTTTGGACCCAAGTGGAAAATCAGGCTGAGACAGGTAAAAACAAACAAACAAACAAACAAACAAAAAACAACGTCCCAAGGGCAAACAGTACTCACGATGCAGCAGAGAATGCAGGAGAAGATGGCAGCTGATTTAAATGCTACAATCTCAGTGTCAGTTATATGTCACAAAGAACAACTCTCTTTTGTTACAAAGAATGACTCCAGAACTATTTTTTTGCATTATAAATTAGTGAAGGATTCTAACAAGGAATTGTCTGAATAGCATAAAATAATATATACTATCAGCATGCATATTTCTATTTAAAAAGTATCTAATGACCATAACTTGTGCAAATTTATGCTGTATTAAGTAGGAAGTCATAGGTAAGTGGAACTTCATTGAAAAAAACACCGAAAAACAAAAAAACAACTGGCGCATTCCTGTTTACTACTGACCCTCTTCAGTTGTTGTTGTAATTGTTCCCTCATGGACTCAGGACAATTGTCCAGCTGGGTCTTCTGCTCGGAGTAAAGCTCCTGAAGCCTCTCTAGTTTTTCCCTTTCAGCATCAAGCTTTACCTTCTCCTGAAGTTCAGAAATCAGAAAATAGAAGAATAGAAATTACCTTCATACCCAAAGCAGGCATTAGTGAACATTTCCCAAGGATAACACCAACACATACACACACACACACACACTCACATAAACATACACACACACCCGCACTATATCCTATGCATGTAGAAACATACCTAGGTAGTGACTAAGATAAGGGGGGTCGAAGTGGAAGTAACGACAAAGGGGCCCCATTTCTGTATTCTTAAAACATGGTCCACATCACTGGGTACTGACAATGACTTCCTTCCTTCCTTCCTTCCTTCCTTCCTTCCTTCCTTCCTTCCTTCCTGCCACCATGTTTAAAGTGGAAGAAGCTGGTCAATGGTCAACAAAGGACAAAAGAAATGCCAACCAAATTTATAAGATAGCCTTACAAAGAGTCTGTTGGCAGAGACCAAGGCAAAGGAAAGCGGCATTTACCTCAAGTATAGTCGTGGTCCAATTTGCTCATGGCATTTGTTAAGCAAGCTTTGCAAATTACTGTAATTTTATTTTCGGACCAGAAGCATGCCAGGTACACTAGTCGACACCCTGGTCACCTGAAATAGGTCTAGCTATCTGGCAAACTTCAAAGCTTAAGCAATTAGAAAATCTGATTCTAAGGCTGAGAGAGCAGGGAAGGAGGCAAGCCTGACAAAGCAGCAAAGGGAGGCATATCACGCAGTTTGGATACACCGACACATGACATTTACTGTGGAGATGAAGACTGCTCTACATTCACGGATATAAAAAACACTTGAAACATGGACTGTGGAAAAAAGGAGAGAACACCCAGGTGTCAGAAAATAGAAGAGAAACGTGGAGATAACACTAAATCCTTCCCCAGTCACACAGTCCAGAGGGATGCTGGACATTCTCTGGGGTCCACCAGGCAAATCCTATAATAGTGATTACATGGCCTTCCATGTCACCTTTTAAATTGAGAAAAAAATACTCCAACCCGTTTAGTGCCTGTCTTCCCAACCTGGGTGCCCTTTATGATGTTCTAAAGCCTTGAAGCAAATTTTAGACCTGATTCTCCCCTATGTAAGTCTGTCAGCCTACACAGAAGCTCTTCGTGAGGGATGCCTGGGTGGCTCAGTTGGTTAAGTGTCTGCCTTCGGCTCAGGTCATGATCCCAGGAACTTGGGGTCAGGCTCCCTGCCCAATTGGGAGTCTGCTACTTCTTCTCCCTCTCCTACTCTCCCTGTTCATTCTCTGTCTTACTCTCTCTCAAATGAATAAATAAAATCATTTAAAAAAAAAAAGCACTTCATGAGGCACTACCATGATTTGGCCCTCATTAAGCACAGGGACCACCCCCTTATTCTCCTTGCCTCATTCACCCTAACTGCAGACAGCAATAAAACTGGCTTCTAAGCTTGATTAGAGAAGGATTTTTTTTTTTTTAAGGATGCAGCTCTCAAACAGTCCCATAAAATTATACTTACTATAATTTCTTCATCCAAATGGCCATGATTTCCCGTGTAAACATATCTTTAGATTCTTTATAAAAGAGGCTATGGTTTAAATGGAAAACTATAGGACATAAATAGCTATACCAGTTCACTTAGGTGTCCATTTTTGGCAGAAAATTTCTAGATGTCAAGGGCCGTTTAGAAATGCATATTCAGTTTTTGTTTGTTTTACTTTGTTTTAAATATTTTATTTATTTATTTGACAATGAAGGAGAGACAGCAAGAGAGGAACATAAACAGGGGAGAGTGGGAGCAGGGGGAGTGGGAGAGGGAGAAGCAGGCTTCCAGCTGAGCAGGGGGCCCGGTGAGGGACTCGATCCCAGGACCCTGGGGTGATGACCCGAGCCGAAGGCAGATGCTTAATGACTGAGCCACCAGGTGCCCCACGTATTTTGATTTGGAAGTGCAGTGTTTTACCCTCAAAATGATTAAATATGGAAATGATAAAACTGAGAATCCTATTTCATCTATCAGTTTAAAAATGTTTCTGCAGGGGCCCCTGGGTGGCTCAGATGGGTTAAGTGTCTGCCTTCAGCTCTGGTCTTCATCTCCAGGTCCTGGGATCAAGTCCCTATCCCCTGAGTCCTTGGGCTGCCTGCTCACTGGGGAGTCTGCTTGCTTTTCCCTCTGCCTCTCCCCTCTGCTCGTGCCTTCTCTCCCTCTCTCTCTCAGATGAATAAATAAAATCTCTAAAAATAAAATAAAATAAAATGTTTCTGCAACTGAAACTTTTGCAGACTATTCAGAAAGTTTCCTCCGTCTTTTCTGGCAAGTGTACACCCTGCGCAACCCCCCAGTGCAGGAGGTGGAGAGGGGCAATGGCTGGGAACATAGAGTGAAGGATCATCACGTGTTCATTCACAGGAAAGCTGAATCTTCAAGGACCAGTCAGTTTCAGCCTTTACTTTCAGAATGAATCATTTTTTTTCCCTTTAATACAGCCAGCAATACAGAACACCAGTCGTCCTTTGGATAAAAAAAGGTGTTATTTCTTCTGTGCGTGGATCAAAAATTGCCCTATTTACACAGCAAAAGAATTTTATCCAAAAAGAGTTCTATTTGTAGATACTGTATCACTGGATTTTGCACCAATTCTAGTTCTAAGAAGAAAGTTAAAAAAGAGAAACAAAGAAAGCAAAAAAGCAAGAAAGAAAACTATCCAATCCCCTTAAATACCAAATGTGCAAAACTGTAAAATTTAAAGTTACATTTGACAGGGTACATTGATATGATATTTGATTCTATGGAAAGGCACTGGCCTGAAACACAGGTCTCAAATCTGAAGAAATAGCCAAACTAGGCCTCTGAGCTCCCCATTTTGTATTACTACTAATAAGCACAGATAACGAAAAAAAAGTACCTTATGTTTACATAGCGCCTTCCTTCTGAGGTGCTCAAAATGTTTTGCAATTCCGTACAAGGGGGCAGTGAGAAGACTAATGCAAGAGGGCACCATCAGAACCTTCTGCTTCTCTGGTTTACGGGTAATGCTATGAGCAAGACTTGGGTCTCAGAACAAAAGCTTAGTGGAGCCAAACAGAGGGCAAAGGAAGTAAAGGGCAAGGATGAAAGGACCAGTAGCAGGTGGGCCTGGCCATCAATCATGGAGGACGAGAGACGTGATATCACGCCCATGCCAGCCAGTTGGCCAACTCAAGCCAGAAAGAAATTAATATTCCTACTTTCTATTTATTGCCCAGAAAGTTTTCAAAGGAAAATTAGCTCAGGCAACCAGTTAATGAGACCTGAAAATATCACCTTCTACGGTGAAGACAAGTATATGAACAAATTAGATAGCATTTCAGGGTTTAGGGATTCTCTCTTTGACATGCAAAATATGAAAACTGGCTGTTATTTCCTTTCCCCAGATTTAAACTGGTACACTTGCCTATTACAATTCTTACGTGCTCAACAATTTCTAAATTCTAAAAAAGAATTCTAAATTCTAAAAAACTCTAAATTTCTAAATTCTGAAAAACAATTTCTAAAGGCCAAGTTGGCAGAGAGCTTAACTTTTTTTTTTTTTAGGATTCATGAATCTGTTTTCAAGAAATAAGTATATTTAAGTGAGTTGTAGTGAATTTTAAATTAGATAAAATTTAAATTAAATTTTCAATAAATTTATTAAATTTTAATGAGCAAATTTAATAAACTTGTATTAAGTTGAACAGATTTAAGTTTACTGAAAAAAATCAGATGACAAGGAATTGGAATACTCCAGGAAAACCCAGATGCACAAGGGGGCATTTGTAAAACCAGGCACAGAATGTGACTTCACCGGAGATGTGGCTGTGTCTGTTCGCACTGCTCTTGCACGGATTTGTCATTATGTACATGCAAAAGCCATGTGGGTCACAAATTCATTGCCAGATTCTGCCCTTTCTTTATGTTTAAGACTGATGTTCCTAAAGCATATGTATGACCAACAGTAATTATTCACAGCAAAGTAAAGCAGAAGTCAGTATATAAAATCGGACTTCTATTCACTTGAGTTGTTTATTCACTCACTCAGGGACTATACGTAGAGAAAAGAGGGAGCCTGGATTGCCTAGGTTGCTCAGTTGGTTAAGTGTCTGCCTTTAGCTCAAGTCATGATCCCAGGGCCCTGGGACTGAGCCCCACATCGAGGTCCCTGCTTAGTGGGAGGCTGCTTCTCCCTCTCCCTCTGCTGCACTTTCTCTATCAAATAAATAAAAAATAAAATCTTAAAAAAAAAAAAGAAAGAAAGAAAGAAAGAAAAGAGAGCGCCTGATCAGTGTCCTCATGAAGTATGGTCCAGTTAGCTCTGTGGTTCTTAGTCTGGACTGCACATTAGACAAATCTGGGTGAACTTTAAAATATACTATTTTCCAAGTCTCCATGCAGTCAGAGATTCAGGAGCAAAATAGGGTATGAGCATTTAAAAAAATCCCTCCATGCTCTCTCCTATACAGCCAGGTTGGGAACCCCCGAATGAGCTACCCAGAATGATGTGGAGAAGCAAAGGCAATTAACAACAATTCGATTTTTTAAATGAAGACACGGGACATTAATATACAAGGCACCAAAGAGTGCTCTTCAAATATTTGGCTTAATGCCTTTATTTCACAGTACAAAAGGCCCTTTTACAAGTGACACTCCAACTGCACAAATTTTTACATTCAGATTAGATGCCTCAAGTAAACCAAACAAAAACTGTACCATGAGATTCCAATACCCAATGCACGTTCAGAGAGGAAGGATGCATTTCAAGCTCAGATGCAAAATGACTGTCTTCTAGTGAGACAGATGATCAGGAGTGTGGGTGAGTTTACCTTAACTAACTTGAACTTGTACACAAGAATTACCAATAATCTTTAATGAACTTAATGATTTAATGAACTTTAATGAACTTAATGAAAGCTCATCATGGGACCACTTTGCTGGCAATGTGGTTAGAAGACAGTAACAAGTTTCTCTCTTTTGAATTGTATTCTTCTTCTTCTTTTTTTTTTTTTTAAAGATTTTATTTATTTGTCAGAGAGAGAGAGA